TCCTTTCTTTCCACAAATGTTACAAGTGGGAATTTTATTTGTTCATTTGTTGTTATTGTCTATAATTTGGTTTTTATTAGTTTTATTTTTCTTTTGTTTCTTGTTATCTTTCTTGCTGTAAGTTTTATCACATTTCAAATATTTACTGGGTTTATTGGTAGAGTGATAAGGATTTATTCTAAATTGATAGTAGAAATTTCTTAATTCTTTTTTACTGACTATTTTTTTTCTTTTAAGTTGTTATTTTAATCTTAAATCATTACATAGCGTTATTCCTGCTTTATTAATTATTAGTATCATTTCAGCATAAGTGGGTTGAGCAAGTATATTTATACTCCCCCCTCCTTCAATTATATAGGATTTTACTTTTTCACTAAAACACTGAGGTATACCAGAAAATAACTTTTCTTTCTAGAGGATGCTTTCGGCATCATCAAGAGTTAAAAGTCTATTTAGGAAGACATCTTTATACAACGGAATTGGGATAGTGTATGACATTTAATTGTATGAAGGAGATCTCTATTTTTCTCAGTAAGATCTTTAGTTTTTTCTACAAAATGATGCGTTATAGTAACAAGAAGAGTAGTAACAATTGTTTGTTAATAGTTCTTCTAGTCCATGTGTTTCATTTTTTATAGTTTGATTATTTTGATCAGTTTTATGGTAGGTAGGAATTGTTTGTTTTTTTGGTATGGTTTAGATAGTTGTTCCACCACCCTTTTAATTGTTTGGAATCCTAAATTATTAAGTTGGCTTTGGTATGATAAAAAGTTTTTCTTAATAGATAGACAATAGCATACATAGACATACTTTGGATGGTGTTTATAATTTGATGTTCAATCATACTATCTATTTCCATTCAGAGTCACTTAAGAGAGTTTGAGTAACAATATCAAGAATTTTTTCAAATTGTATGTCTACTGGAGAGGGACGATCATAATTGCTTTTTGTTTTAATATTTCTAGTAACATTCATATTGTTGAGTATTTGTTTTGATTCAACAAAATATTTTGGTTTTATAACATCAGAGTCAGTATCCAAATTTTCAATGTACTCTGCAGAGAATAATTCTTCTGAATTTTCATAACAGGTGTCTGGTTCAAATAAAACATTTACTTATTTTAATGATAAATTGGTTAACTGCTGGTTCAAATAAAACATTTACTTATCTTAATGATAAATTGGTTAACTGATTAGTTAGAGAATCAAGCTCTGCTGTAGAGATTTTTAAAGGTTCTCTTACTAGATTTGAATTTTCAAGAATGTTAGTACTTAAAGTAATTAAGGGTTTTGCACTAAGAGACCGTGGTTATTTAATTGGTTTAATAATATTTCTTGGAAAAGTTTGTTGGAATAAATCTTTTCCTTCTTTTATAAAAATATTTTGTTTTATAGGTTGGATTTCATCTTTGATACCTTCTAGGATAGTTTCTATTCTTTCAGTTTGAGATCCTAAAGTTTGAGCATATAGATTAGTATAGTTTTGCTGCTCTATTATATCTCTAACAGACAGTAGTCCAGAAGTATCTCGGAAGGGAATGGCTAGAGTATTATTTAAATTGGAAATAATTAAACTTTTATTGGGAGGATGTATCAAAGACATTTTCTTCATCTTTACGGATAATCCATTATCTGGAATGTGAAACCAGAGCATTGATAGAGGTGCACTATTCACGTGCACAGTGTAGGTGTCATTTGAGAGGGAGCGCATGTGTGGGTGCAGAGGTTTTGTTGCATGAATCATTAGGCTTCTGTCATCACTCAAATTTCAAATCCATTTCAGAGAGAGAGATAAGGGGAACAAAGTTCTGTTTGCATTGATAGGAGGAGAGAGAAAGACACCCATTCTAGAGAGAGAAAGAGGGAAGAGGGCCTTTCTCCAAGACATAGAAAGCATGACTAGCAGGGGATAGGTAGACCGTATGCCACCAAGTATGGCACATCGACATGTTAGTTGCTTGGTAAATATTTGGGGAGTGTTGATGGAGTTTGAGATTTCAAAATGAATCAAGGGACTGGAATGCTAATTTAACTAGTTGCTCTTGGTTTCCTTTAAAACAAAATAACTAGTCACTGGTCTAGATAGATTTGAAGGTAAAAATTGCTTCTTTCTCTTCATATCTATGTAGATCGGTCAAATGGTTACTGGTTCACTTTCCACCTTAATCACTACCATAAATTCATCATCATGTACCTTTACTGTAATACTCTCTAGAATAATTTTATAATGTTATCTCTTAATTTACTTTTATTCTCTCTATCTGATAACCTGCAAGAAAGGGGCTGGGAATGGGGTTGTGGTTGTAGTCGTGGTGGCAGCATGCCCATATTCAGTTACCTTCCCTTGACACCCCCAATTAACACTTTCAAAATGTAACTCTCTAACCTATTGAATTAACACCTTCAAAATGTTACTCCCTAATCTATTGAAAAAAAGGGTAGGAGTCATTCTTCCCTACTTAATTATCCAAAATGCTGACACCTCCAATTAACACCTTCAAAATGTTACTCCCTAACCTATTGAAAAAATGGGTAGGGGTCATTCTTCCCCACTTAATTATCCAAAAGAGAAAACTGAAAACCTGCAAAGATTTTTCTAATCAACCTCTACAGGAATTCTACATTCATTAGCCAGCATAAAGAAGATATTTTCCACAAAGCATTATTAGATATTCCTAATATCTCCACAAAGCATTATTAGATATTCCTAATATCTCCACAAAGCATTATTAGATATTATAATTTTAACTTATTGTATTATGTTATAAGGTGTACCATATAGTCGTATTATAACTTGATTATATTATATTAATATTATACTATATTGTATTATATTATATTATATTACCTTACTATTATACTATAATATAATAACTATAATACTATAATATTGTAATATAGAATATTATAATGAATACTAATCCAATATAATATTGGTACATAAAATATAATACTATATCTTACTATAATGGTATATTGAGAGGTTATACTATGAGAACACTATAATAAGAGGTTATACTATGAGAAGGTAGTATATTATAGTATAATGTAATATGGTCATAATCAAGTTATAGTATAATATAAAGAGAAGGTAGGAGAATAAATTATTTATACTATAATATAACATAATGAATATAATGAGAAGGTAGTATTTAATATAAGGGAAATGACCTTGTGAGACCCTCTCACACCTATGTGTGTAGGACCCCAAAGGATCACCATTAAATTTAGCACAGATCTCTAAAAAAGTGAAGTCTGACACCCATGTGATAACTTTTCGAGAGATCTGTGCCAAATTTAATGGTGATCCATGAGGGTCCTACACACATGGGTGTGGGAGGGTCTCATAGGATCATTACTCTTAATATAATAGTAATGAATATTATAAGATATTCATTATGCTATATTATAGTATAACATCATAGTATTAATATATACCTCTTATACTATGAGAAGGTAGTGTATTATAGTATAATGTAATATGGTTACAATCAAGTTATAGTATAATATAAAGAGAAGATAGCATAATATATTATTTATACTATTATATAACATAATGAATAACTTATCATATGTGTTATATTGAGGTTATACTATGAGAAGGTAGTATATTATAGTATAGAACAATGATCCAATGCAACGGTTGTATCATAGTATAATGCAACGACACTCCTAGTTACCGCTGCCAGTGATCAAGTACGTCGTAATATGGTTATAATCCTGATATAGTACAATATAAAGAGAAGGTAGCATAGTATATTATTTATACTATAATTTAATATAATGAATATCTTATAATATATATAGTATACACTAATATAACATAATGAATCGAGAGGTTATGCTATGAGAAGGTTGTAGATTATAGTATAATGTAATATGGTTATAATGATGGTATAGTATAATATAAAGAGAAGGTAGCATAATATATTGTTTATTTGAGTATCTTATAAAATATGTTATATTGAGGTTATACTATGAGAATAGTAAAATGAGATGTTATCCAATGACAGTGTAGTATATTATATTATCATGTAATACGGCTATAATCAAGTTATAGGATAATATAAAGGCAGCGTAGCATAAGATATTGTTTATATTATAATAGAACATAATGACTATCTTATAATATAGGGTGCAGTTTCCATACGGATGCATCCGGAGGTATAGAGGGAAGGTGCACCTTCAAATTTTATCATGGTATATGATTTTGATGTAAAATGTTTTTAGGATTATCTTAAAATCTATTTTTACATTTAATTACAAAATTTTAAAATTAAAAAATGTTTAAAATCAAGTACATCTATAAACATATGAAAATCTTGAAAATGGACGGTATAGATAATATGTTGTAAAATGCACTATTTCTGATACTTAAAATCTTTTTATTTTTCATAGTCATACATCTCGATGTCGAGATGATCAATCAAAAGGTTTTTCAATATTAAAACTATCTTTTCTGATGGATTTTTGAGGGGCATCCGTAGTTCTACATTATACGGTAGCATCCTTATATAAACTTTTTTCTATAATATATGTTATAATGTATACTACTTTATCATTATTATTATATTATATTATAGTATAACATCATAGACACTATAATACAATATTATAATATTACAAAAATATACCATAATATTGTATTATAATGTAATATAATGAATACATATTATATGAGAAGGTAGCATAATAAATTAGTTATACTATAATATAACATAATGAATATCTTATAATATATGTTATATTGTATGCTACCTTCTCATCATTATTATATTAAAAGATATTCATTACATTATAGGGAAAGCTTTTTATGTTTTTTCTACAGCATAGAAGTTCTATCCTCCCCTACCTTTTTAACCATTGATTTAAAATGGGTGGCTGAGATTAATTCACTCAAATTGTAACAAAAATAGAGTCGTCGACGAAGCCGGTAACCCATTTCAAATAGCCTGTAGTACACATATACATACACACACAAAAAGAGAGAGACATAGAGAGAGAGAGAGAGAAAAACTCATTTTTAGAGATAGAGAAAGAAAAAGCACTGGAGAAGTAGGGGAAAGTGTTGGGACGAAGAAGCTCTAGAAGAGAGAGAGAGAGAAACCCATTTAGGCACGCCAGATAATCCCACTCATGAGAAAGATAGACTAAGCCCATCGCTCGAGGAGAAGGAGAAACACAGGTAATGATACTTCGGCCATCTCTCGACTCCTCTTCTCTCTCTAACTTTTTCTCTATTCTGTTGTAATTTTTTTCTTATTGATTGTTGCCACAGGGTCTATTCTTATGCAAATTCCTCCATTTTTTTTTTTTTTGCTTGAACTCTGATTTATAGGTTTTATCTTTCTGTCTCTCTCTCTCTTCTTCATTGGATCAAAGAATTTCTTCCACGATTGTGTTCATTTTTTGTATTTTAATGGCAGTATTGTGATTGATTCAGTGGTAAGGATTAATGGCTAATATGCTTGACTACTACCATGAGCTTCTATGAGATGATCCATAAACTTCAGTGAGAGAGCTTAGGACAGAGACATGCTTAGTCTGCTATTAACAAATTGAGGCATGGATTGTCTTTGTAGCAAATTGGTGCTTATTTGCGGTGGCTTGAGAGGAAACTTGGATGGCTCGTACAATTGTGTATACAAATTTTTTACTAGAGGCATTTTTATCATGCATGTTATTTTAATCAAGTCACTTCCATCGTTGCAGCTCTTTATGCTTGCATGATTAGGGTTTCCTTTAGGGATCCATCCATCCAACGGATGATATTAAAAAAAATTTGTATCAATATATCAAAAACATGGCACCTTTGATATTTCTGTGTTCAATTTGAAGTTGTCTAGTCTGAACTACTTGATGTGATATACCGGTCCTTTAATATTCTCTTTAATTGTTTAGGAGATATGATCTTTCAAGATGATGATGTTTTTCAATTCTGATTCATTTCTCCCTATCTACCATGTTTGTGGATTTTCACCTTTTGTTTGTTTTTTACCGACCCTTTTCCTTTTATTATTTTTCAATTTGTCTTAACATCCTTAATTATGCGAAATATGAAAGGGGAACTCGGAATTTCAATTTAATGGTCCTGCTGCCTAGAATTTTTCATCTAAGCTTGAGTCAGTGCTTAAGGGTAGGGGCATTTAGGTCTAATCTTTGGAAACTGAGGAATAATTTTGCTAGACTATATTTAGTAAACTTTGCTATGGTCATTAATCATTCTTGAAGTTAGAACTTAATTTTGGAATAGGTTTATAATTTCTTTCTCATACATATTTATTTTCTTTCCATAACAATTGTAAGTTAGATCGTACATTTCTTAAAAATAAAAAGATCGTACATTTCTTAAAAATACCTTTTTAAAAAATAAGCAGTAAAAGCACCTTCCCCACAACATAATAAAATTAGCCTTTCATTTTTTAACTCTAAGAACATTGTGAATAGAACATTCGAGATGGTGATTGTGAATTATTATGGTGCAAAATTGTTTTTTCCTATAATTGAATTTTTGTTTATGCATTGAGATTTTGATCAATGTGTATGTAACTATGTATTGTGTTTGACTTAAGAATTTGCTTAAGGGACAATACCTTGAGCTCCTATAGTTTCATAAGAAGAGGTACGACAATTCTTATCAGCATCAAATTAATTTAGTTGTTGTTTCGTAATTCACATTTTTATCATATTATTAAATTTTTATTCTTTTAATATTCTTACATTGTCTACAATGAGTACTTATTATACTAGTGAATTTTATTTCAGAAAAAAAAGATGTTTTGTATCGATGAATCCACTCAAGCCTTGTCAAAATGGAAGCTTAATTGGCGAAAGATAGAGCTTATCAAAAAGAGGATTCCAGGCGTTATGTAGTTGTTGCTCATGAATTGTTAGTAAAGAACACACCAGTTGCACTAGAGAAGAGTGAAGGGTGATGAGGAGGATAGTGAAAGCAAAGAGGATGGTGAGGAGCAAAATGGAGGAAGGGAGAGTGAAGCCGAGGAGGACGATGAGACGAGAACAAAGTCTAGAGAAGACCAGTATTACGGTCTTGCTATGCCTGAGGAACCCAGATGGGAACGTCGACCAAAGGTGAAAGGCAAGGGTGTACTTAGATGGGGGCCTCTTACATATTTGTAATTTAAAGACTAGTAGTTGGATATGTGCAAACTCAATTTTGTAGGCACATTTTGATGTAGTGCCTTGCCCTCAAACTCTGCCTATTATTAACATCTATTTAAGACAGTAACCTTTCTCAAATGAATTCTATTTCTCATATTTTGTCTTTTTTTTTTGGTGAATCAGGAGTTGAGACAATAAATTTTGGGAAATTATGAATGAATTTTGGGAAATTATCACAAATATACTTTAATTTTCGTCTATTAGAAAAAAACTCCAACTTTCATAAACCTCGTGCACACCTTTTTTCTTAAATTTTGGGTGTTTTGTGACTAAAATAACCTTCACGGCAGTCATATTATCGTAAAGAACAATTACAGTACTCTAAATACCATATTGAATACCGAATGTTATACGGTACTTAAAAAAATACCTTGAAAAAACCTTTCGGTATTACGGTACTCGAATAACTGTAGTACTAATTAGGCACTATAAACCCTACTTGAAACCCTTTTTTCATTTACGGTTTCCTTTTCTCCTTTACGGTTCTGTTCATACCGTTTAAGGGTTCTCTTTATCCTCCGAGTTCTAGGGGCTCAATTTCTCACGGGTCTCCTTCATTTCGCTCATCTCATTAAATTCTCCTTATTTGGTGAGAAAGCTCTACCAAAATTTTTTTTTTTGAGTACTTTGTACTATTTCAACCAAATTAGGGTATGTACAATGTAAATTAGGTTCTTTTTTCCACTGAATTGGGCAAGTTTTTCATTGTTTTTTAGCTTGTTTTGGAATGGGATTTTGGTGTTAGCATTGTTGAAATGAGTGCTCTGTACTGTTTTGGGTTGATATGGCTCTGATTCAGTTCAATTTGAGTTCTATTGCTGTGATGGTGGTTATCAACTTGGTCTTACATTAGATGTTTTGAATCTGGTTGATTGTTATGCAATGGGGATTATGGGTTTAGGAATTTGATTTTAGTTTGGGTGATGATGAACATTTTCATTCTATTACTCCAAGAAGTAAAGGCCTGAAGATACGTCGAGATCATTATCAAATTTTCTGGTATACATGTATTGGTAGTTTTATTTGATTGCGTAGACCAAGGCTTTGTTAGTGGTTTGATATTGCAAACCCTTAAATCTGTTGTTGTGGGTTGTTTTTTATTATTACATTGGATAAAATGTAATCTCTTCTCTCTCCATTTTTTTTCTTGTGCTCTGACTCTTCATTTTTCTCTTCTTTGTATGAAGCATTTGTTACAGTTGTTTATGTAATTTCTCCTTCATTTTCTAGGATACATGCATCTTGAGTATTTTAATGATATGCTCATGCTTTTCTAGTGGTTTGTGCATGTTTTTCTGCTTCTTATCCATGGTCTTTTCTCTATAAGCATTTTTCTGCTTCTTATCCATGGTCCCTTCTCATGCTATGTATTATTTCATTTTCTTTTTACACCAACTTGAGCATATACTTCCAAGTTGTGTTTTGATTGAAGATGGATGATGATAGATTTTTGAACAGGGATCATGGCCAAAGGCGTACCCTGCCCTGGAGGTCCTAAAATTCCTACATTCCTCAATCGACAGAGACAATACATATCACAAAAGATTTGAAAAGGAGAAATATGTACACAGGTTTCAAATTATATTCTTTGCCTATCATGTTGGTTAATCAATTTATTTATTTTAATATTTAAAATCACAAATTCAATTTCAAGATCGGAGAAATACCCTTAGGATTGATGATTCTCTGGTTAAGGGTGACTGGTGTAGCTGTAACTCTTAGGAGAGTGAAGAAGTACGATGATTTTATATGCCACATGCTAGGACAAGTGCCACCAGATTTTAACCATTCTATTGTCCGACTGACATGGTTGAGGAACACATTTAAACAGCTGCCACATAACTATAACCGTAATACCCTGTTACGACACACCCGTGCCTACCTCCTATACCTAGTCGGCTGCATAATCTTTGTGGATTCCACAGATGGTACGGATCCTACCATATATTTACAACTTTTTCAATATATGGATGTAGCTGGTCAGTATGCATGAGGTGCAACTGCATTAGCTTTTTTGTTCTAAGCCTTGTCAAAGGTTGTTCGTCCTACCAACACCTAAGTGGATCAACCACTCTATTGTTGGTAATGCTAGATAAAAAAAGATCAACTAACTTTTTTACAAATTCAAATAACAAAAAAGGCATATAAAAAAATATGAACTGACACTATTGGCCTCTTTACAAATTCAGGTAACCAAAAAGACAAAAAAAAAAATCAACTGGCACTACTGGCCTCTTTGCAAATTCAGATAACAAAAAAGACAAACAAAAGATCAATTGACACTACTGGCCTATTTACATTCAAATACTCAATTTGCATGTCTTCCTGTTATGGCTCACGACCTTGCAGCGGCTATACTTAAGAGGCCTAATCTCTTTGTACTCTGTTTGTTTGCATCATTTTTTTGACTGACCTGTGGTTCTCCTTGTAGTTGGCAGCAGTATTGTTGTATAAACAATCTCTAGCAACTCAAGTGCATCAGGCATATAGTTGAAGGGAAGGGAATATGCACTACGGTACATATCCACTGTGAAATAAACGATGCAATATTCTGTAACGTCCTGATGCATATGATTTATAGCAGCGATCGCAAGATTGCACGACAAACCACTAACTTGCCACACTCGACAGATACATGTATGACTCGTCAGATCAACAACATATTTTTTATCCGCATTGATCTCATATATACCATAATGTGCCCATATGACTGTATGAAAGAATATGGACTTATCCCTCCTATGATTACCTTTTGTTTAAGCATGCCGCTCCATTCAGTTTATGATGCAAATCTGACAGATCTGGTGGTGAAGTTCTCTTGGATTTGACACCTTAAACTAATGAAAATGAAATGTTAGAGAAGGTGAGACAAATCGAATTCAAATCTGAGGACAGATTTGCCCGGAAACGAGTAGATCTACTCTCATATCTGTGGTAGGGCCAGCATGATCCAAGACATTACAAAATGCGATTTTTAAGTAAACAAACAAATCAAAATAAAATGAAAAAAATAAAAGAAAAAGAGATAAAATGGAAGAAAATGATATTGAACCGGGCCGGATGGCCCGGGATTCCCGAGCCTTATGAGGCTCGCCAGTATCAGAACCGATCATCTTTTGTCTCTCTGATCCGAATATTAGCCAATAAGTCCTTTCAGTATAGGGTGGTTGTGCGCTATAGATGGTTCTAGGTGTCCTAGGTCTAGGCTCTGTCAGACTTAAGGATTGAAGTTCCAAGAGTCTGGGGTTTTCCTGAAGCTATTTATGATTTCTCTCAAGTTTTTGATCTCTGCCCCCATCTAATGGCCACGAAAAGAGGCTTTATAGGGGTCAAATTAGGCTGGGAAGGGTATAATCAGGTAACAAGTGCATACATATCCAAAAAAAAGGGTTTTGAGGGTCTCGGATCTAGGTGACACGGGTAGTGTAGCCCAGTTCACGCTGGTCGACACGAGCAGTGTCGCCCAAGTAAAAAAATGTCAAAATTGAAATTTTTTTACTTTGAGTGCATTCCTTAGCCTTTTGTGAAGCTATCAAAAAAATTTTGGGTCAAAATGGATTTTTTTACTATTTTTAATGATTTGTTTGGTAAAACAGGATATTTACAAGATGACTTGGGCGACACCACTAGTGTCGCCCAAACCAAAATCTGTCAAAATTGATGGTTTTCAATTTGAGTGTCTTCCTCAGCCTCTTGTGAAGCCTCCAGAGAAAATTTGGGTCAAAACATGTTTTTTTTACTATTTTTAATGATTTTTTTTAGTAAAATAGGGCGTTTACAGAAATCTGGGTCAAAATAGGGTTCTGCAGGGTTCTGTGCAGGCAGACTGGTTTAGGGCCACAAGATAGGTTGTGTGAAATATAGATTTGGGTTTACTAGGTTAAGTATGATCCTAATGGTTCAAGAAACCATAGAATTTGCCAGTTTAAATGGGGTGTTTGCAGTTGCTCTCTTTGGCACTCCCTGTCCTTCGGGGGACAAGTGAGTGGCAAAGAAGTAGACACATTGGCATTCCCTGTCCTTCAAGGGCTAGGTGAACATCAAAGAAAAAGTAGACATTTTAAATGTCGTCATGAAGTCACATGGTCAGGGGGCACACCAACTATCCCTTCAAGTTATTGCGCTCACCCAGCTCACCCACCTAGGGCATTTTTCCTCCTAGGGTTTTCGGTGTGAGATGTTGATGAGTTACACAAGCTTGAAACTCGAGTTGAATTTTCTGGTTATGCCGCTTAACTTCAGGGGTTTTCACATTTTTAATTTTTTTTTTAACTCTGGCATCTTCTTTGATTCCCTTAGGGTTTCTTAAGGTTGTCTATAGGTTTAGGGAAAGAGAGAATAATGCAGACATTGAAAATTTGTTCCTAATATCCTGTGGTCAGAGGGCACACCAACTATCCCTCCAATTCATTGTGCTCACGAAGCTCACCCACCTAGGGCATTTTTACTCCTAGGGTGTTCGGCATGAAATGTCGATAAGTTACACAAGCTTGAAACTTGAGTTGAATTTTCTGGCCATGCCACTTAACTTCATTTTCAAATATGCAAACCTGCATTTTCCTAGATTTCCTTAGGGTTTCCTACGGCTGTCTATAGGAAAAAGGCTTTTTATAGGAAGAGACTTGTTAGGCCGAATCCGAAGAGAGAGACGAGGCAGCAACGCGACAATCGCGGCAACACGGTTATCATCATATATAGGTGTTCAAGCTCCTTTGTTTTAAAAGTCTTTTAGAAATTGTGAAAGTAGGGGGATGATTGAAATAGAACTCGGAGCAGGGACAGGTTACAATTTTAACGAAGAAATTAAAGTTTTCGAAAACACAAACATATAGTGAAATTTTTTGAAAAGGGAAAGATATTTCTAAAAACAAAGCAGTATCAACTCTTGTAACCATAGAGCTCTCTAAGCAGTTTAGCGTCATACAGCGATGGACCATGTAGTCGGCAGTTATACTCATACGACCATGGAGTTTTTTATTTTTTTGCTGCCCCTGTTGGGGGTGATTTTCTTTAATGTAGGTCTTACAATATAACCACTTGTGACCCCTTTGGTGGACTCTACGTGAGCGTATCGGGTCCTTGTTTGAATCTTTA